TTATGATTTGAAGTTTAAAGCTTATCAAATACGGGCTTATCTGGCTTGCTCTCCTGGCCAATAACCATACACACTTCTCTCTGGCCTCTCGCCTGCTCTCTTTCTCCAGCTCCAGTTTTGCGGCAGGTGAATTGGTGTTTGCCTACTCGCAATCACTGATTTTCGCTAGCCATTCGCGAATTGTTGCTAAGCCTTGACGGTTGCAAAAAATCCGTGCGTGATATCGTTATAAAGCAAAGGCTCTAAGTAGCCCAAATCGAATTAAGCCGACTTGGTGACGCGTGTGTGATTAGAGCCACCCCAATAAAACTAGAGCTGCTCTGCTGATCCTGATTCCTCGGGGTTACAGGGGGTTATCCTATCCTTGCCATCACCCCGTAAAATCCCTTGTCTGTCCGCTGCTCATCCAGGGTTACATAATGAAATCAGTTTTTTCAATTGTGCGTCAGCTTAATTTGATTTGCCTGGCTTTTAAGTGCTCTCAGACCGGGTTTTTTTTTTCCTCCTTGCCAGCTTTTAGCCTGCCATGTTTGTGTGCTCCAGTTTCAGTTTGTCTATCGGGGCGGCACTTGAGTTAATTGATTAGTTTCAACGCCTTCCAGACAGGCCAATAAGTCATTACTATTATCTGGCATGATTCGGAGCCACTTAAAACTTGGAAGTTTCCAACCAACGCCCCCTTTGGGTACATTGCAAATCGCAAAGCTCACTATCTTTACGAGGCATTAACAAGCCTCATATTACTCATGTGGAGTGGCAATCGGCAGTACAGAACGAAACGGCTCATATGACTCCCAAATGATGTAGAAACTTCCACAGCAAATCAATAAACACTTGGCACGGGTACCAGTTAAAATGGCAAATTATTTTCAATTCGCAATCAATATTTACAGAGCCAGAGGCAAATGGCGATGGAATATGGCAGGAAAAGTAAGTGATCGGCTGCGATTACTCACCTTGGCTTACACCATCGCCCACTGCCCTCCGCTGAGTAATTGAAGCTGCAAATGAAATTAGCCAAAACAAAACAAAAGACTGCAAATACAGGGGATAGTAAATGAAATTTTTCACGACTTAATGTGCATTAGACATGCAATGAGTGTTTGTCTGACGAGACATTGGAACCAGTTCCCTGCACTCAAGTTCAATTCAACCCGCAATGGGTTAATTCACAAGCCTCAAGTGCCCATGTCCTTGTCCTGGGAATCCTGCAAGCTGGCTTTGATTTCCATTTGCCGAGTAATTGATTTTTTCTAAACACTCGAGAGAGCTCTTTGAAGGGAGGGGGAAGGGAAGAGGTGTGCCCGATTCCTGTCATTACCAGAGCACATTTCACACTCCAGCCCGACACTTGAAGTTGACTTGACCGCCCGGGCTGGAGGCTCAACAATTCCCAGCTGCCAGTCGCGTGCTATAAACTTTATTGATTCGAGGAGAGGTTGCAGCGGGTGCATGGGGTGATGGGTAATGGCAATGGGCAGTGGGCAATGGGCAATGGGTAATGGGTGGTTGGTGGTGGGTCCAGCGCATCGAGTAAATATATCCTTCCGCATTATGTTGCCGCTCATCCGGCAACAGTTTGGGCCGGCGCCTGCGGGTAGGCAATGCTGCTTCAACCCTCCAGCCTCGACCCTCCCCGAAATAATCGGCAAATATAACTCTATGGCACTTCGATTGAGAGCACTCTCTTCTGGTAACTCCAGATAAAAATCTCCCAGCTGAGCGCTGAATGCGGCCCAATGCCGGCCATAAAGTGCGGGCCCATGGGTGCGACGGCTCTCAGTTCCTTTCGATTTGCCGATTGAGTTTGTTCGTCCTTTGCCGACTGTTGTGTCCCACGCTCGCGAGTCAAAGGCGCGCGCTAAAATATTCTGCAGAGCAGAGCAGCTCCAGTAGTCAGCCAGCCGAGCAGCAGTCAGCAAGTCCTTTGCTCCCCCAAATAGCATCGCGTAGTGTTTGTTTAGTGTAGTATACATTTGGGCGCGGCAGCAGCGAAAAGCAGAGTCGCAGGAATCTCGAGAAAGGAAGAAAAATATACAACATTGTTGCGTCCAATATTTTGATACCAACGAAGAAGACCACCAATAATTCAAATCAGCTAAAACGAGAATCAATCAATCCAATCACCGAAAATCAAAAGCAATAGCGTTAAGCCAAGCGTGTCTGTGTTTGAAAAAGGAGTGTGTGTGTGGATCCCCGAAAGAGATCCTTGAGGAGCTAAAGCTGCATTGTGATTTCATTTTACCTGCAAACGCAACCAAACAAACGAAGATTGGTTTTTTATATACAAACACCGACTTTGTGACCAAGCCAACGCCAAATTTTTAAACGTTTTTTGAAAACTTTACAACCAACTCTACAAAAACCACACGCAAAATGGGTCTCTGCGCCTCCAAGGACAAGAAGGAGAAGGTGATCGAGGGCGAGGTGGCCAATGGCGAACCCAATGGCACCGCCACGGCAGCCGCCGCTGGAGGAGATGGGTGTGTATCCCGGGGTTCCGGGACTTTGGTGGGCCTAGGTCTCCTAGACAGGAGTTGTCTCTATATGGGTGGGCGACGGGGAGGGGCTGACGTCATGTGAGTGAGTGTGTGTGTGTGTGTCTGTGTAGGTGCGTGAGTTCTGTCTGAAAGCGCCCAAAAATAAAGTGCCATAAAAAAATTATTATTGCCCTGGTCCTTCGTTTTGTCCAGGACTTCGGCTGCGTCGCCATGTTGTTGTAGTGCGCATGTCCTTCGGCGGGAAGGGAATGCGGGTGTATAGTGTGCCGTCGATTTGCGTATTCAGCGGCAGCCGGCAAAATTTTATAGTCAGTCAGCCACCACCGAAAGCAGGACACAACCGAAGAACAGAGTCAGCCAGCCACCACCACTAAAAAAGGGGCGTTGTGGGATCAGGGGTGATGGGTGTTGTGTGTTGGGTGCTGGGTGTTACGGGTTGAGGGTAAGGGGAGGGGGTATTTGTGGCAGTCGCGTGCCAGACCCAAGTCGGGTATGAGCACATGGCCATAACCCGAAACTAATTGCGGGGCAAACAGGCCGGATTCGAGGAAAACAGAAACAAGAAAACATGTTGCCGACTTTTGGGCGCCACAAAACGGAGATAGCCAACCCATAGCAATAAAAACTTAAACTACCGCCCCAGCCACGCCCTTTTACTAATGGTCAATCCCCTTTCTCTCTGCTTCTCTCTGTGTTTTTGCAGCAAACAAGACACCATGGTTGATGCCGCTGTTCTCGCTAAACTGGAGGAGGGCTTTGCCAAGCTGGCTGCCTCCGACTCCAAGTCGCTGTTGAAGAAGTACCTGACCAAGGAGGTCTTCGACAACCTGAAGAACAAGGTCACGCCCACCTTCAAGTCGACCCTGCTGGATGTGATCCAGTCCGGCCTGGAGAACCACGACTCCGGCGTGGGCATCTACGCCCCCGATGCCGAGTCGTACACAGTGTTCGCCGACCTGTTCGACCCCATCATCGAGGACTACCATGGTGGCTTCAAGAAGTCCGACAAGCACCCGGCCTCCACCTTCGGCGATGTGGCCACCTTCGGCAACGTTGACCCCACCAACGAGTACGTGATCTCCACTCGCGTGCGTTGCGGTCGCTCCATGCAGGGCTACCCCTTCAACCCCTGCCTGACCGAGGCCCAGTACAAGGAGATGGAGGGCAAGGTCAGCAGCACCCTGTCCGGCCTCGAGGGCGAGCTGAAGGGCAAGTTCTACCCCCTGACCGGCATGGAGAAGGCCGTCCAGCAGCAGCTGATCGACGACCACTTCCTGTTCAAGGAGGGCGATCGCTTCCTGCAGGCCGCCAACGCTTGCCGCTTCTGGCCCAGCGGCCGTGGCATCTACCACAACGATGCCAAGACCTTCCTGGTCTGGTGCAACGAGGAGGACCATCTCCGCATCATCTCCATGCAGCAGGGCGGTGATCTGGGCCAGATCTACAAGCGTCTGGTGACCGCCGTCAACGAGATCGAGAAGCGTGTGCCCTTCAGCCACGACGACCGTCTCGGCTTCCTGACCTTCTGCCCCACCAACCTGGGCACCACCATCCGTGCCTCCGTGCACATCAAGGTGCCCAAGCTGGCCTCCAACAAGGCCAAGCTGGAGGAGGTTGCCGCCAAGTACAACCTGCAGGTGCGCGGCACCCGCGGTGAGCACACCGAGGCCGAGGGCGGTGTCTACGACATCTCCAACAAGCGTCGCATGGGTCTGACCGAATTCGATGCCGTCAAGGAGATGTACGATGGCATCACCGAGCTGATCAAGCTCGAGAAGAGCCTGTAAATTGCCCGCATACCGCCGAGCATCGTCCCCCCGGCTGGTGGTGCATCCTGAGGAGCTAACATCTGTCCACGGAAGCCACCAGTTCGGGGCACACGCAACAATCAAGAACAACAGCAACACTTAGAAATCTTCGGCTCGTCCGCCTTGTCGCTTTTGGGCGGTTCGAGCTGCAAAAATGTCTAGTTTGTAGCGATGGTGCGGAGCTGCTGTCCCAGCCCGGCGACCTTCGGCATTTTCGTATACTTTGAGGGTTGCGGGCGCAGGCAGCGATCCCATCTTGCAACACCACCAACACCCACAGCAGCAGCATCAACAACGGATAACTATTTGAGAAAAACATTTGCTTAATTACAACCAAACAATGTAAAACATTTTGACATCTGTGTCAAGCAAAAACAAAAAAAGAAACTTTAAATACTTTTATTTTAAGTCTTAAGTTTATAAAAGAATTAAAATTATTAAAAAATAATAAAAAAAATAAAAACCCAATTTATGTATTGTCTTGAATGGATTAAGGATTCAAGAAGAATAAAATTGAGCGGATACCTAGTGCTATGATCTAATTAAAACTCATTAAAGAGTTGATTTTGATTAAGCTCATTATTTGATAAACTTATCATAAACGGTATTGTTCCAAGTTCTTGACTGCAGACGAAATAAATGTAATATTTTACTAAGATGCTAATGCTGGACTCATAATTTAAAGAATAGGTTAGTCTTGATTTACAGTATATTTTACAATTTGAACACGTTGATCTGAATATAAACTAGTTAACTTTTAAAGTTAATGTTGTACTTCCAAATTTAGTCAGAACTTAAAACTTATGTGCATTTAAATCACTTTGGCTAAGCACCCTTTGCCTTGCATTCGGCTTCAATGAGGCCCTTAATTCCCTCGTGCATCTCCTTGATGACCTCGTACTCGGTGAGACCCAACCTTCGCTGGTTAGATATGTCGTGCACCCCACCCACTGCTTCCGTGTGCTCCCCCGTGGTGCCGCGTATTTGGAGTCGGTACTTCTCGGCCAGCTTCTTCAGCTCCTCCGGCTGGTCCATGAGGCTGGGCAGCTTTATGTGCACCGAGGCGCGAATGGAGGTGCCCAGGTTGGTGGGACAGAAGGTCAGGAAGCCAAGGCGTTCGTCCCTGTTGAACTCGATGTGCTTGCCGAGGGCCTCCTCTCCCCACGCCATGCGGTCGTAGACTCTGCCCAGATCGCCACCCTTCTCCATCGAGATGATGCGTATGTGGTCCTCCTCGTTGCACCAGATCATGAAGTTCTTGGCGTCATTTAGGAAGATGCCCCTTCCAGCTGGCCAAAAACGAGTGGCCCCTGCGGAGTCCAAAAATCGATCGCCCGGCTTGAATAGTAAGTGGTCATCGATGAGCTTCTTCTGAAGATCTTGATCCATTCCAGTCAGTGGCATATAGATGCCCTTGTGTTCCCCGGTGAGTTTTATTAGTGCTTTACAAATCTTGCTCTCCAATTCCTTGTAAGTGTTTTCCCTTAGGCAGGGATTGAAGGGGAAGCCCTTGATGGCTCTTCCGCACCGAACCCGAGTAGATACGATGAATTGGCCGTCAGGATCTAGGTTCTCAAAGTCCCTGCCCTTGCCGAAACAAGAGGCCGGCTGCTTGTCCTCCTTCTTAAAGCCCTTGTGGTAATCCTGGATGACGGGATCGAAAAGTTCGGCGAATACCTTATAGGCCTCCGGATCCGGAGCGTAGAGACCCACGCCGGAGTCATGGTGGCACAGTCCGGAACTGATGCAGTGGATCAACGATGAGTTGAATTTCGGCGTCGTCTTTGTCTTCAGATTATCGAAGATCTTCTTGGTGAGATGCTTCTTCAGCAAAGACTTGGAATTGGACGCGGCCAACTTCTTGTAGCGCTCTTCCATTTCCTTCAGCATCTCCTTGTCCTTGTTGCTGGCATAGCGATTGATTGATAAATGTGTCCAGCGACCTAATAACCGAAGTTTAAGCCGGGCTTGTGGATGTAACAGCATTTCTAAAGAGCTAATATTCGAATGTGCCAAACCAGGGTGACCGAAGGTTTAAAGTTACATTTTACCAAAGGGCTACTAACGAAAACCAAAGAACGTATATAAATTTACGACTAAAATATGGCCAACGGGTTGAAAACTTCGACTTTAGCCATTTATAGAAAATAGATATATAAAAGCACTGATAAATGTTTAGCTATGCCTCACTCCATGGTGTGGAACTTAGTTATAGCATAGCAGAGATTTAAATGGTTGTTAGGCCACTGCTAAAGCAAAATGTCTGTAAGATAATCATAGCTGGCTCATGTTGAATAAAATTATTTTGTTCTTAAATTATTTACTGGATGAATCAAAAATTATCAAGTTGGCTTGACCACAAATTTTCCATTGATTAGTCAACGATTTTTTTCTCAGTGTAATAACTTAGCACGGTATTAAACCATTGTAAAATATATGTATAATTCGCTAAACTGTGTATAACTTGTGTGTAAAATGTATGTACGACAGTGTCGAAAGATCAATACTTAAGTTAATGATAAATCGAATTTTAATGAAGAAACTATATTTTATCTTTATTTTTGCTTTATCAGTACATGTCATAATTGTTAAATTAAAATCGCTCAAAAATAAAAGATGTGATAATAAAATTAAGAGTTTTTAAACATTTTGTTGTCGTTTTTTGAAAACTAAACTTCATAATATTTGACAATATTGCTGGATAACATTATAAATTGCAATTAAGGGCTTTAAATTATACTTATATATTATAAAATAAGGTGTTTTAAATATAACAAGTGATCACAACTCACCTCGACCTGTTCTCGTTCGCACAATTTAATTCAATGTTTGCAAGCTGTTGGCTCGTAAAACAGAGAACGCCAACATTTTTATAGCTTAAAGCTTAAATACCAAATCAAATATATTATAATTAGCAATAAAGAACAACAAAAGCAGCACTGGCAACAACAACACGCTAACATGTGGCGCAAATAAAATTCAAATTCGAACGGCAACACCTTCTCAATAAAGCATCGTTATCCTCATTATCATTATCAACAGCTTTGACCGCAAACCGGATTTGAATTTTGGGTATGAGTATGGACCAACCTACACAACGAAATTCATTAAGTATATTAAAACAAACGCAAATTAGAAATGCAATATGTGAGCGATGGCTATTTCCATTTTTATCTCATAATCTACGAATTTTGACGCTTTTTGCCACCGTTTTTCGAAAAGAAGCCAGCCGCGAATCAGCAAAAATAAACCAAGTATTTAAAAAACACTTCTGAAGCGCAGACGCCGACAAGATTTTATGTTTATTTGGCCCCTTTTGTTTTTGGTGAAAACGTGCAAATCCCATAATTTAATTGTTCAGCATTTCAGATGCAAATTTATGCGGCAACAAATCCAATCGAAGACGAGGAGAAACACAAAGCGCTAATACAAAACTAAGCCCAAATTAGTCAAAGCAGCTTGAAACGCGGTTTCGTGTGGCCAGTGAATTATTTCGCGCTGCCTCGGATTACATTATGCATAATCTATGCAAAGGTTTCTATGAATGGAAGGCAGATCGAACGACCTGCCTTTGAACTATACGCTTTCGGGAAGAGTGGGTCGACGTGGGGCTAGATACTCTCGGGGGTCCATCTTCTGGGTGCACTTAAAAACTTAATTAAAAATATTAAACACGAAATGTTTGGCGCCACCGTTTAGGAAGCGCTCAAAAGTGGACCGCACACATCCACGACCGCCGAGTTATCAGCTCAATTATGCAAGCTGAAAGGCAGCCGCCGGCCCACAGACAGATTTGTCGCATTTGACACGATAATGCACACAAGGAGTGACCACACCAAAGTCTCTCCATCGGCATCGGCATCGGCATCATTCTTGACCAGCTCCCACTTCGTTTTGGCCTGGCCAATGGCCATAAAAGGTGCGATAAAACGAAAATTTCACAAGACGGCAGCAGCAACACACGCACTGTACAAAATTGCTTTTAAATCGAATTAAGCAGACGAAAAATGTTTAAGTCTTAGCTATTTCAAGCTTTATTTAATATCTAAAATAGATAAATCTATTAAGAAGGATATAGTGAAGGAAAGAAAAACTTCCTTAAAAGCTTTAAATATTGTTAAGGGTGGCATCAAAAAATATAGAACATCATTCTTTTAACTACTTTTAAAATATTTCGAAATTGGAAATACAAAAGTGAACCCTCAATGTCGTTGTTAAAATTGGGAATTTGAAATGTCAAGAAAAACTATTTTTGAAAATATGTATATGTTTAAAATATGACACATTCTTGTTGTAGCTTCAAATTTTCAGATGATTTGATGCGTATCAAAAGTATTAATTAAAAATTCTTTTATTTATAATTTTTTCTCAATCAAAGAAAATATTAATAAAAAACAAAACATTGTTGCTGCTTTTAAAATTATTTATTTAAGTAGCGAACTGATCAAAATCAAAGAATTCTCCGTTAAATGTTGTTAAATTAAATATTTTAAAACATAAAAGTTTGAATCTAAAATATAAAAAGTGTAGGTCACGTTCTAATTTGCTAAATCTGTTTTAGAATTATAAATTTCCAAGGGTATTCAGTTTTTTTATGTAAGCACTTGTTTCTTGTTGAATAGAGCTGTTAACATTTTTATATTATAGTAAAAGCATAAATTATTTTTTTTCTGTGCAGGCAGCTCTGCGTCATCGTTTCATTTGGAGGACCAGGATGGAATCGCAGGGGAGTTGAGTCGGCAAAGACCAAACGGCCTGAAAGCCGTCAAATCGCTGCTCATAATGGACGCCTTATCTTTCGAGAATTGCTTTAACTACTACCGGAGTTGGATGTGTTTCAGATACGTGCGGCTCGAGAATCGACTGGTCACCATAATGGAGAGCATTAATTTGTCTTAGGCCCGCCAAAGCGGTCGCCAAACAACTTTTGGTCCAGGCAACGCGATACCGTCAAACCTGTGAAAACGGAAACGCTGAAGGTTGTCCCCCCGCACGAATAGTTTTGCATTTGCCATGGATTCGGTATATGTTTTGTTTATTCTGGCCAAAGACACTTAAAACGATTTAACAAAGTATAAGATTGCAGCTGGGTTCTTAAACGATCTTATGGGTAGTATACAGTAGTAGCTTACAAAGTATATGCACACGTTTCTCACTAATCACAACAGAAGATGGCTCCAACTTAAGTGGGCATTTGTTTAAGAGTTTTTAGTAGGCCAAAATGGCTGAAATGCTGAAGCTATTCCGCTTGGTGGAGGTCGAGGGCCGCGGAGAGGTTGTGGGTGTGCTGGAGCCAACTGGTGGTGATGCCACAGGACTAACAGGAGCTGGAGCTGGGACATATGCTGCTGGGGGCATGGCCAGAGTTTGAGGAGGAACTCCGCCGAAATAGGCTGCCGCAAAATTGGGTGGAAGTCCAAGAGCTCCACTGGGTCCATAACTCAAGGGATGTCGATGATACGGCGACAGGGATGTACCGGCACCTGGATGTGTTCCGTAGTAGGCTGGTGAAACGCTGCCCGTCGAGTCCTGCTCAAAGTCCTGGCGTTGACGCTTCGCCTGCGGAGAGTCACAGCTGCTCACACTGGAGCCATCGTCCTCCGACTCCAGACTGGAGTTTCCACTGCTGTTTAGCTTCCTCTTGCAACGCGATTGACCCGACTCACGGAATCCCTTGGCGAAAGGATTGTTGTCGATCTTCAGCTTGGTGATGCGATCGTTCTGTAAGGAAAGGAGAATTTAATAAGTAAAGTTTGAAAAAATTATATAGTCGCAGTAATATAAAATATTACATTTTTCATTTAAGAACAACAATTGAATTTTAAAGTTATCATATAAATATTTTACTGAATATTACAATCAAAAGATATAAGTAAGAAATTTGCCACACAACTGAAATAGCTGTGTTTAAAAAACGATTTTACATTGTTCCACTTTTAAAAGGGTCTGATTAAAGTCACTTTTCCAAAAGGTTTGACAATCTATGTCGAAAGATTAAAATCAAATCCAAATGTAAATCTATTAATAAAAGTGAAAAGTGATCTCTATTTTTTCTGTCTGACAGAAATTTGATCTACGAGGCGTCAGTAAGGAGCCGTCGGCTGGGAAGCACTTGAAAAGTTTGTCTCCGATCCTTGTTAGGATCATCTCAAGTGGCTGGCGAGGCGACAAATTTGGAAATGCGTCAATTAGCCGACGACCCCCGCAGTGCCTTTGTCCCCTCAAACATCCTCAATGAGGACGAGCAGTATGTTGTCCATGAACCCACCTGATAGGCCGTGACAGCTACGAACTCCGTCTCCGGGAAAACGAACGCCTGCTGAGGAGCCCAGGGAAGCTGGGTGAGCTCGCTGCTGCGGATGATGTGCAGACGTGGCTGGTACTTATGCATGCTGGCCAGGACGATCTGTAGGAGGTAATGATATCGATAAGTGACCCATCCTAAAGAATCATAGGGGACTTCCAACACTTACATGTCCGCTGCTGTCCAGAGTGTTGTTGGTTAGCTTAACCTTGTTGAAGAGCAGCGCCTGGGATTGCCAATGGGCACCGGTGGCCGGACTATCCGGATGCAGATACATGCGCTGCGGACTCTGGGGCTCGGCTCCTCCGGCCGGAACCCACTGGGATCCGGAGAACTTGTAGCGGCAGTCGCCGATGGGCACCATCTCCAGGAGGACGCAGTAGCTGGCCTCCTCCTCCAGTCCACTGAGAGAAACCCGCATCGAAGGGAACATGCGTCTGCAAAGAGGAAGCAAAGAATAGGACTTGATTAAGTGGCCTGCCACGAACTGCATATAAATCAGGGAGCGAGAGGATCGCAAAAGGAGGCGTCGCCGGGCATCTATTCTATTTCACTGTAGTTCGCCTTTGATTTGTGGCCCCGGCTAACAAGTGTGTAATTATGGACCCAAAGACGGGCAGCGGGGAGTCTGCGCAGAGCAGCGTTGCGCATCGCATCGATTTAAAACGTAACGCAAACAGATCTCGCCGGGCCAAAACAATATGCCACCGACTCATGATTAATTGTGCGGCAAAT